TTTCCGGTCCTCCACACTCATCATACAAAATAGAACAGAATTATTCTGCTGTTTCCCGCCCGTGTTCTGTGAGAACATGCTCTTTACCCGGGCGAGCCAAATTCGTGCTGCAGGAATGTATAGCTAGTATAGCTGCAACGTGGCTCCACAACATAAATATAAAAGATAGAAATATTATATGAGCATATTATTTAGAAAAAAAACTATGTACTAAAGGGAAGTCGTTTACCTTAAGTAATAAAATTTTGCACCGAGCGACTCGAGTTCGACACTCAATGTAAGTACCATTGACGCTGCTTCTTACAATTTTATGTGCTGGCGTTAAATTAACATTATCAGACTTAAATTGATTATATATATATATATAAAATTGTAATCAATTTTGTGTTTATTTTTGTAATTACCGAGTAGTGGCGGTATAAGAATAACCACTACCCCCATATCATCCCGTGGGTGTCGTAAGAGGCGACAGAGGGAAACAAATCAGGAAAAGGACAGCAGCGTCTTGGTAATAACGACTAAAAATAAAAAATAATCTGCAGTTGCCCACCCGCTTACCAAGCGCGGCAACTACGGTAAATTTCCCCCCCCCCCCCCCATTTAATAGGCTGTAACGGTAACGATTATTTTTGTAAATCTTAAATGATAAACGAGCTTACTGTCCATCTGATGGTAACAGGCTACATCGGTCGATTGACACCTTCAAACTAATAAGACAACAGATGTGTTGTCACCTCTCAGGATTAAGATGGAATGCCTCACTGCGGGCTCTCTATACTGCGTTCAGTCTGTAATGTGAATGCACTGTTATTTGGCGACAGTAATAGGTAAACACGTGATACCTACCCAAACGAGCTCCCAGGTAGAAAAGTAGTATTACCACATAGGGGCTGTAAAAATACCTTTGTACGTAATAGAACCATGCTGCAGCTATCTAAGTTATATAGTTGTAGCACGAATGAGTCAGCTCGACCGGGTAAGGACCACGCTCTTACAGAATACCAGCGTAAAATAGCAGCTTAATGCTGCTGTGTATCGTATGGTGAGTGTAAAGAACCGGAGACCCTTTTTACTGGAATAGAGGCATTCCATCTTAGTCCTCACGGGTGACAACGCATATGCATTTTGATTCGTAATCGAGGATAGATGTAGATGTCTATGAGACACCGCAACCATTTACCATCAGGTGGACTGTGTGCTCGCTTGTCACCTTTATTCTATAAATAAAGCCACGGTTACCACGATTCAAGCTAGCTAATGTATGTATACCATTTTACTTTTATAAGCGGATTTCAGCAAAGTAAATGTTTCATCTTTAATTACCAAACATCAAATTTAAAACCACAAAGCCAAGCAGCTGTCGTGGTGTAAGTTCGTTGTCGCAAAAGTCTTTTACATAATAAACGACCGGGATTTCGGAATTACAGTAATTATCCTCTAGCTTTACAGAACTACGAACAACTTATTCGAATATTCATAAATAATAAATAGTTCACAGTTCATTTCCCAAGTTGCTGCGGTCTTTTGTCTATTATGATGCTTTATTACATTTGTTGTTCCGCTGTTTGACCTTTCATTAACTTATGTTCATATATATTTAATGATTGTGATATTAGATTGATGATATATATATATATATTTGTATGTGTACGGTTGATTAAATATTTGATAAGTGCTAATGGAACAGAAAAAGATGTAATGTTTCATAATAGGACATTATTTTATGTATTACGCTGAAAACAGACGGCGGACGTGTATCCACTACCCTATATTATACTGTGGGTTTCGTAAGAGGTGAAAGAGGGACATGAAACAGGAGATAAGTAAGAGTATCTTCATGACAATAAAAAAAACTGCGGTTGTCAAGCGTTATGCAGATGCGTTGTCACCCCTGGGGACTAAGATGGAATGCCGTTACCTGTAAAAATGGTCTCCGGTCCTCCAAGCTATTCATAGGAAGCACAACATAATTATTGTGCTGTTTCACGCCGGTATTCTGTGAGAAAATGGTCATTCCCCAGGCGAGCTGGCCTATGCTGCAGCGTGGGCCTACAACGTAAAACTAAAAGCTTGGTCGTTATTTAATAAATATTCTATATATATAGGTTAAAACCAATCTTACCAGCGTCGAACACAGACACAAAGTAGGCAGCTTTTCGGTTTTCTACAGGATACATTTCGGAGAGTATGCGCAGGAATTGCATAATTTAACTCCTCACTCTTCCTTCCACCATTTAACAACAAGAGGTTCGGCCAGTCTCTACCTTTTCGTTGTTGACTTACCACGCATTCGAACAAAACGGTTCGCTATATCGTTCATCATGCGTACAGCAAAAGAGTGGAATAAGTTGCCAGCATCTGTCCTTCCATCCGATTACAGTATGTCTTCAAGGCAAGAGTGAATGGGCTTTTGTTAAGTCAGTGCGCTTCACCATCTTAGGCTACATCACCACTTACCATCAGGTGGGATCGTAGATAAGCGCTGGCTTAGTAGAATATTAAAAAATCCTTCCTATGAAGTAGTCTAAGGCTGGTTTTTGTTCAGCAGTGACCTTTGATAGCAGAGTAGTATTCACCCCCCATTGTTACTAGGATATAGGCCTCCTAGTTTGGGTAATGGGTAAGTACAACCCTCTTAACTATTTCGTCTGCCAAGTAGCGGTACTTGCACTGCTGAGTCTTGGTCTGAAGGTTATAGAGAACCAGTATAGATACAGGCTGTGAGACATTCCATCTTAGTCCTCAAAGATGGCAACGCATCAGGTGGGGTGTAAGTTTGTTCGTCACTTTAGTTTCATAAAAAAATTGTATTCGGTCGAAAAAAATTTTTTTCAAACGCAATCATTTTCGGCAGTATTATAAACACGTTAAATGTCTTCTTAGAAATGCTTGGGATGTATACCAATGAAAGGAATGAAACTCGTCCTGCGTCTTATTATTAAATAATGGTAAGGAGATGAGGGAATTAAATAATACAACTTTGTGCACACTTTTTAAGATTTATTCTGTTAAGATCAGAGAGATGAGCGAAATCAGGATCTCAAAAATACGACAAACATATTTTTATTAAACTATGGATCATAAAGGTAAATTTCCTCCCGCCGGCGCCAGCGAAATAATTTATCTCGAAATAAGTCTCGGTAGTCAAGATAAGTCGTAAAGAAAGCAACACTTTTGACAAATTAGACGATTTTTATGGGTCCCACTCAATGCGTGTTTCATATACTTTCAAATTCATTATTCGAAATAGTGATACAGTCAGCACATTCTAACGGATATACTTTCAGGAACATTTGACTATAAATTATCCACCCACCCCGGCGCCGCTATGTCTGGTCCACCGACCTTGTGTTGCAGTGTCCTTGTGCACCTTACCATGTTGTGTTTGAGCTTATTTTCGGTCGATCGACGCATGATGTGTTTTGGTGTTATTTTCTAATGCGTCATAATCCTAATAAAGTTTTCGCGGTTATTCGTCAGAGCAAAGTAACAAAATGAAATATAACTATTTTACTCTAACTATGAGTTAAAATTTGACGAGTTTGATAATGGGAATTGTCTGGATTGTTTGATTTGTTTGCTTCATACGTGTACAATAAAAATAACGATTGTTTTAAAAGAAGTGAAAAATATTCCACAAATGTAGGAACATATTTTCAATATTAGTTCAAAAGCTTAAAAAGTTAAGGACCTTGGCAATTTGTCAATTAAACTAAAATTAATTTTTAAAAATACATAACATTATTATTTCATTTTAAATATATAAAATGTTTCTTTATTATTTTTATTCGCTAATTTGACTGTCCACTGTTGGGGATGAGCCTTTTCTATTAGAGGAAATATTTGACTTGATCGTGAGTTGATTACTGATACTATTTTTATATTAGAATCTGCAGTCATATTTTTTGTAGGATTAGGGTGACAAACGTGCACACAGTCCACCTGTTGTTAAGTGGTTGCTGTGGCCCATAGACATCTATATCTATCTTCGATTACGAATCAAAATGCAGATGGGCTGTCACCCGTGATAACTAAAATGCAATGCCTCTTTTCTAGTAAAAAGGGTCTCCGGTTCTCTACACTCACCATACGAAACACAGCAGCGTTAATCTGCTATTTTACGCTGGTATTTTGTGAAAGCGTGGTCCTTCCCCGGTCGAGCCAACTCATTCGTGCTACAACTATACTACTAATATAGCTGTAACATGGCTCTACCACGTATAAAATCATGTACTACACTTAATACACTTCCTCCTGCAATTGCACGTTTGACAATGCTCTCAATCGCCGATCTGACCAATATACATAGCGCCATCTATCGGAGACCGTGAGGTCTTTCCGAGTTTGCGTTTAATTGCATCTCACGGCACCCACTGAACTATATGGGGTGAAGGATTATCTTTCGCCGCCACCCCACAGCTAATCTTATATTTATCGCACATTAGTTTAGTTTACTGGCTATATATTGTGATATTCGAGCCACGAAATCTCTTCGAAGAAGTTCGGCAGTCCGTTGACGACATCGGGGAGTGACTTCGGCGTGTCAAGATGTTTAGCGCTGTATGCGGTGACGTCAGGGTTGCCACCGTACTGTTAAAACAGTGTTATACTTTATTTCACTCCTTAATAATGTTTTATGTTCTGTTTCAATAAAATTATACAAAATACTGTTTTTATCATCGCTGGTATGAGTATAAAAAATGTGCTCATCAATTATTTTAATTTCTATTTTAATTGTTGAGAGGTTTACTAAAATTTCAAAACTTACATAAACTAATAATAAATCCAAAAATTGTGCAAAAATCTCCAAAAATATGTCTTAAAACTTCAAAAAAATTACTGTTTATTTATCAAAAATACCGTTTATATTAGTTCTCCTACGATAATATATTTTAATTTCTTACAAAAACCCTACTCTGAACACACCAGCAATACGTTTATCACATCACATTTTATCACATATTAAAACATTCGTTTCTTTTGCAGAACTCCTAATAAAGATGGCGTGTTCTCGGGGCGTTACCTTGATGGCTGTACTCTGTTTGGTAGCTAGCGTGGTATCCAACCCAGTTCGACGGTCGCCTGATCTGGAAGCACGACGTAGAAGCGCTATAGATCGAAGCATGATAAGGTGTTATATATTAAATTTTTTTTAAATTATTATAAGATTAAGCTTCACTACTTTCCTATCTGGAAATCTTAGCTTATATATTCAGTTATGAACTTTCTTTACGTAACATTTTTTTTTATAGAATAAGGGAGACAAACGAGCACACGGTCCACCTGATGGAAAGGGGTTGCTGTGGCTCCTAGACATCTACATCTATCCTCGTTTGCGAATCAAAATGTAGATGCGTTGTCAGCCGTGAGGGCTAAGATAGAATGCCTCTTTTCTAGTAAAAAGAGTCTCCGCTTATCTACACTCACTATACGAAACACAGCAGCAATAAGCGGCTATTTTACGCTGATATTCTGTGAGAGCGTGGTCCTTCCCCGGTCGAGCTGACCCATTCGTGCTACAACTATACTATTAATATGCCTGCAGCATGGCTCTACCTCGTATAAAAACACATTAACATAATAATACATAATTTAAAATATAATAATACATGCCCATAAACCGTCCATTACCGTGTAGCGGCGGTGTAAGCATATCCACTAACCCATATCATCCCGTGGGTGACATAAGACGCGACAGAGGGAAAAGTCAGGGGATAAGCAGCCAGTGTCTTCCTAATAACGACTAACAATAAAAAACTAAGGCTACCAACCTGCTTGCCAAGCGTGGCAACTATGGCAAATTCCACCTATTAGGCACTTAATGGGGAGGCCTATGCAGTGGACTTTAATATGCTGTAACGGTAACATTAACGGTACCGATGAAAGTTGAGAATTTATAAATTGGATAACAAAATATTAAGACTAACAATTGTTAAAATTAAAAAAAAATAGTACTTGAATTCAATATAAATAAAATGAGAACATCATCAATGTAATGTAGTCAATTAAATACGCATTATTAAGGATAGCTTAAAAACTATTAGTCAGACCTCTTGACCAAATTTATATGGGACCACATGAGAAGTACCAGCTTTCAAATAAAACAAGAATAAACGAAATCTGTTCAACTAGTAAAAAGTTCTGAGGTAACAAACGTAAAAAAAAACATACAGTTGAATTGAGCACCTCCTCCTTATTTTCAAGTCGTTTGAAAACCAAAACTGTCATACAGTCCTACTTCCCATAGTATAGTGCCAAGTACGTTCGTAACGTTTTATAAGTTTAAACTAAGTCTAAGCAAGAAAAAAACCAACCAACTATTCACCAGAGGTGATGAGAAGGGCGTAGCAAACCGTTGGTTTTATTGCGTGGTACATCGGCAACATAGAGTTCGTTGACTGTTGTTAGTGCTTTATAGAAACAAAAGGAAGAATATGTTACTATATAACTCAACACGAACGAAGTTGCGAGCGCAGCTGGTATTACTACATATCTCAATATATTATTACTTTCAATCGAAACAGTAAAGACCCAATTTTTAAGTCATCTCTATGTTTCTCTTCTTTTTCTGTATTTTCCTGTTGTAGAGAGGTTTTACTTCGATCGCCAAGTAAGATGGGTTGGTTGGGGATTATCACAACAGACTTCTGGTATCTTTGACACCACTTCACCCATATGTAAGCGATAAGATATTTCTAACATTTTCTATAGTCTTCTGTTACGTCTGTCCTTTGCCTGCACCTCACAGCAATCACCTTATTTTTTAAAAATAAACTCTTCATTAACAAATTTTATGTTTTGCAGATTTGGAAGATCCTATCCTCCTGAAGCATCAGCCGCTGATATTCGAGAGGCTCTCCAACGACCCACCCGCAGAGGCAACAGTTTCCTACGATTCGGCAGATCCCAACCCGTCACTATCACCACTGACGACCTGATCACTCTTCTACGATCTTACGAAGAAGACAATGATAGCCCCGTAGCTAAGAGAGTCTCCAACTTCGTCAGGCTGGGCCGAGATCCTAAGTTCATCAGGCTCGGCAGGTCAACTGATGTCGAGAAAGGCTATGAACAGAACTCGGAACTGTACGTTAGCGGTTACCCCCAGAGGAAGAGTAGAGCAAGAGACCACTTTGTAAGACTCGGGCGTGGCAGCGAAGATGTCAGCAACTCGAACGAAACCGACGAGACTTTCGATGAAAGGAGGAAGCGATCTACAGAAGCTGTTTGCAGCAATTGTCATACGTAATTCCAAAGAACAACCTCTTTTGAAAACCGTTTCGTAACTTTCCTAAATCTTTAGAGTGCTGTTAAAGAAATGTTGAAAAAAAAATGTGTTTTTAAGTATAATATTTCTTCAATTTCAGACTAATATAAGTAACATATAAAAACATCACTATTCGTAAACTTACGTCACGGTTTTCACAAACGATTGGATGTTAATGAATTCATATATTCAAGCACTTTACATGTGTAAAAATACTACCTACTTTATGACTGTTGAATTTTAGTACCGATATCCTGTATACGGTGTGCTGATGTTAAGAATTTTTAAAAGGATTATTATACCTCTGTACCATTTCTATTGTAAAACTCTATTGCATCATTTGTACCCTTTGTTAAACGTAATCGAAAAAATTGCTTTAATTGTGAAAGATTCATAATTAATATTAAAACTTTTAATCACTTTTTTATACTTCAATTAATTTAAAAATACTGAAATAATATTGTAAACAAATATCAAAACTGAAAACTTTTCTTTAAATATTATAAGTGCATGTGCGAGTATCCGAACAAAGGCTGGGCATTTTGTATTATGTTTTCGGATACTTCCACTTTAGCTCAATCGTAATTGTTTCTAATAGATAATATTAGATATAAGTAAATATTAATTTACTGAGAATGTTTCATCCAGTAAACAAAAAAAATATATGTACGAAAATGATTCCAATATGAAATAAATGGCATTACTGTGTAAACAACAAAAGAAAACAGTTTTATTTTTAATAAAGACGAGTTATGATTATTGTCTCTCTTTTGTTTTAAAAATTCAAGGATTAGTGTTACCAAGAAATGTCCCAGATTTTCCTGATTATAAAATTTATTTCAAGTTTAAAGCAGCTATATCAGATTAGAAGGTATATTTTAAAAAATATCAATAACAGTTTTAAAATCAAAGAAATATTTCGTCGGGAAGTTGAGCGACGTTCTCAAGAATTTTGTATTATTTATGGTAACGATGTCCTCTGGAACTAGCTAAAACTGCAATGGTAAGTGCTAATATACCTTGTGTTAGGTGGTGAAAAAATATTGTAAAGAAACCGGCGCCACTGAAAAATTTAAATATATAATTGAATGAGAAATATGCCATCGCCCACTAGTTACGTATGGTACACTTGGCTCACACTCATAACATCTTTAAGCTGAGCAGAGCATTATGCCCAAAAGTGGGTAGTTTGTGGGTAAAATTAATAGTTTTGAGTCTTATTTAAAAGTTCTTTAAGGGAAATTGAGTTACAGAGTTTCATTCTCATTTGACGCGCGGTTTTTCTAATGGTGTTGACGTACCCCAAAAACGTATTAAGTGTTATGCTTTAATGTTTTTGGTACGCATAGAGAGATATTGGAATTCTGGTAATATATATACCTGTGACAGTATTTCTAGATTGATAATTACAATCAAAATACAATATATTACAACAATTTAAATCATTAAGGCAAGAGTGAATAAATAGGTAGTTTCCTGCACAATAAATATATCTAATGGGATATTAGACAAAGTGCAATTGGAAATGCAGACCGCGCAGAAAAGAGCGCATTGTGCTCCATCGCGTCCTGTTAAAGGAGGAATATGGAAGAAACCCTCCTACCCGAGGAGGAGCCGCCAAGCACAACGCGCGAATGCGTTCTCATAGCAGATATGCAGCACGGATAAAACTTATCGGGATTTTAGTCGGTAAGTGTCCGACATACGCAGTCTTTCCCCATGTTAAGCGAATATGTGAAAACATTTCGCCATGAAAGAAAAGTAATGTAACAAACCTAAACACTAACAGCCACATGTCGTTTTTAAAAATAGGAAGTGACAAACCAACACTCTATTTCATAATAAGTGGTTGGACACCTGCAGCCAAATTCAAATAAAATAAGCTACAGATGCGTTGTCACTTCTGGGGACTAAGATAGAATAGCTCACAGCCATCAATTACACAGAGGAAATAAGTAAGAGGGTGGTATCTAACCAGATAGATTCCTAAACTTCGTCTAAACGTAAAAGAATAGGTCGGCTCAACGGTGGAAGCAACACACACTCACAGGATAACACCGTAAAATAGCAGCTTAGCGCTGCTGTGTTTCGTATGGTGAGTGTAGAGAACCGAAGACCCTTTTTACTGGGACCGAGGCACTTTAGTCCTCAGGGATGACAACGCATTTTGATTCATAATCGAGGATAGATGTAGATGTCTATGGGCCACAACATCCACTTATTATCAGTTGGACTGTGGGCTCGTTTGTCACCATTATTCTATATAAAACATTGTTTTCCATTAAGAGCACTTGGTAGATTTGCCTATTGAAATAATGATGAATGAAAAGTATGTTTAACTTTAATGTACACCATCATCGTCATCATTATTATAGCTATCTACAAGTCCTCTGCTGAACATAGGCGTCCCCCAAGGAATGCCACAAACTACGGTCCTGAGCCACTTGCATCCATCGACTTCCTGAATGTCTTACTCGTACAAGGTCGTTGCTCCATCTAGTGAGGGGTCGCCCTACACCTACCTTTTGTCCCCATAGGTTGTCTGTTTTTCGAGCTATATGGCCGGCCCATTGCCACTTCAGCTTACTAATCCGTTGGGCTATGTCAGCCACTCTGGTTCTACTGCGAATGTCGTAATTTCTAAGTTAATCACGCAAAGAAACCCCAAGAATTGCCCTCTTCATAGCTCGCTGAGCGACCTTGAGCGTCGTCATACAGCCAGCAACCGGCAATTGTAAACCAATTTTTTTTTTTAAATATTAAATCGTGGAATACCTTTATTTTATCTTTCACTGAATTATATTAAGTCGTAGTAGTATTTATAACTCTTAAAGGTCAATCGCATTATCTTGCTAGATTTTTTCCTCGTTATTTACATAAGTAGCTAGTTAAGTCTCTTGTAACTTTTGCTTTAGCGCTCGGCGAGATTGCTTATTATAGAAGTATTTTCCTCGTTATTCTTAGCGAATAGTTTTTTACAAGTCTTGAAACTTCCATCTCTTCTAGAATACATGCAGTATTTAATTTAAAATTAATTTAAAATATTTTGTCAATTCCGTGGTAACAATTAATTGCAGCGCTGAACACCGCAGATATACCGCATGGAACAAGTATTTTTATTGCCTACAAACAATTTCTTCGGTTCCTTGTAAAATTTTACATATGCAAGAGTGAAAAGGCTTGTTAACCTAAGTCAGTGCACTTTACTATCTTCGGCTGCATCACCACTTACCATCAGCTGGAATGGTAGTTAAGCACTGGCTTATAATAGTAAAAAACGTCCTCTACGATACAGTAGAATATGCTAGTATGGAGGTAACGTTGTTAAACTAAAGAAGATACGGAAAAAAGAAAATATAAGCATTAATATATCAAATTATTCCTAGTTAAATTAAGCCTAGGACTTTATGAGTTTTGTAAAATATTATATAAAATGGAATTATGCAGAATTAAAAAAAATACATAATATTTTTATATTTATATATGTAATCACTAATCTCATCCAGTACACATTCAGACGTGGACTTCAAGTTGAAATTTATTTTTGGTAATAAAAATAATGGTATAACCAGCAGTTATCAAAGCAAGTAAATACAAGAATCACTAAAATACAAGTCATACATACAATGTATTTATATATTTGCAGTTTGGTGACTGCAAGAGAAAACCATCACCTTATTTATTAAATGAAAGGGTGTTAACGATCGTCATTTAAAAGTCCCCATCAAGCAAATTTAAATTATCAATAGTTTTCTGAATAAATAAATAATAAAAATAATAATTTATTATCCTGACTTACTCCATAGATATGTATGTTAGTATAACAATAATATATACTTATGACCTAGTTAGTACATAAAAAAACACAGTTCCTAAAGGAACTCTATCCGCGACCGGTCGTTGCTGCTGGTGATAATAGAGGTGGTTCTTTTCTCGATCATAGGCTAAGTATAGCCATTCAGCGAGGAAACGCAGTAGCGTTCTTGGCACGATACCACGGGGAGTAGGACTGTATGTTAATTAAGTTTTTAGTTTTAGTTTTTTTTTTAAATAGATTTTTAATATTGTATGTACTAAAATATTGTATATTAAAAACAATAAAGAACAACAACTCAATAACTAAATTAACGATACATAAAAGAAATTAAAATTTTGTTTCCGTTTTGTGTACTCTGCTTGAGATGTGATCCCGTACAAAAACAGTCATAACTAGTAATTAGTTTTTTTTTATAGGATAGGGTGACAAACGAGCACACAGTCCACCTAATAGTAAGTGGTTGCTGTGTACCCATAGACATCTACATTTATCCTCGTTTGCGAATCAAAATACAGATGCGTTGTCACCCGTGAGGACTGAGATGGAATGCCTCTTTTCCAGTAAAAAGGGTCTGCGGTTCTCTACACTCACCATATGAAACACAGCAGTGTTAAACTGCTATTTGACGCTGGTATTCTGTGAGAGCGTGGTCCTTCCGCGGTCGAGCTGACCCATCCGTGCTACAACTATACTACTAATATAGCTGCAGCATGGCTCTACCAATATATAATGCTTTTGCTGTGTAGAGGCTATGTAGAAATTAGTGGATATTCCCCTGTTGAATATTTCTTGTTGTTAAATAATGAATTATAATAAAACCAGTTTGTTTGCACTTTGTAACATTTTGTATATTTATTTTACTATAACAGATATATTTTTTACAATATTTTATAATTGAATGTAGGAAGAGGCGTTGAGCCTGCAATTGTCTTGTCAAAAGTCAAGAAAACCAAAGCGAGAATAGCAGACTATTTTTTAACGTTCTTAGTTTAAATTTAATATTAAACATTCCCCCATGTCATCCCGTGTGTGTCGCATATTCAGGGCGGGAGATGGGCAGCAGCATATTCCTGATAACTACTAAAAAATAAAATAAAAAAACGCAGTTGCTACTATGGCAACTATAGCGAAATACCTTGTATGAGGTATTACCAAACCGTTTGCT